GCTAACAAAGTCCAGATGCTCCAGAAGGGCTGGAAGACCCCAGGAAACCTCTGGGTGGCGGAGGAGCGAGGCCACCGAGGTGGGGACAAGCGACGAGGTGCCACGGGGGAGCATCAAAGCAGCGGCGAGGCGGGCGGCGCTCACCGGGGTGGGGATGCGACACTGCGGGGCGACAGATGCCACCAGCAGGGCCCTGGTGGTGCCCCCCCCGGTGCTGGCAGCCCCCACGGCCCGGCGTGGCTGCGGCAGCGCTGCCCCTCGTGGCCCTGCCGAGCAGATTTTTGCTTAGCTGCCTGCGCTATATTTAGCTGCCTGTAAAAGGGGTTAGCGAGCAGCGCTGGAACCAGTGGCACAGCTAAGAATGTCAACGTAAGAGCAGCCAGGGATAAAAAAAGCCCAACCCCGGCGCTGGGAGCTTTGCACAAATCCCTCTGGCTGCGGGAGGTTGCAGGCAGGCAGGCAGGCAGGGCTGCAGGCAGCACCTCCATCCCCCCATGTCGTGGCACTGGGAGATGGATGCTCTCTGTCCACACGGCTGGTGATTTGCTGCGGTGATTTTGGGCTGATCTGGGCTGTTTGCAGCGTCCTGGTGCTCAGCTGGGCCCCGAGGGGCTGTGTGGTGTAGGGAGCAAACCCCAAACCCACTGAGGCACCACGTGGGATCTTCCACACCCCACAAAGGGTCTGCAAAGCAGGGACAGGACTCACCCGTGGGTGCAGCTCAGTTTCTGCCTCTCCTGCCAAATTTGGGTCTTTCCAGCAGAGCCACGAGCTCTTTAAGCAGGGCCTGAAATCTGGAGGGTTTGGTGAAATCCCTGAGTTTTGGGTCAGGTGTCCCATTCTGTGTCGGGGGACAGTGTTAAGCAGGAGGGACAATCCCAAAGCTGGGAGGTGTTTGTGAGGCTCCCACATCCACAGCCAGGCACCTGGAAGTTCCTGGAGCATGAGGAATGGATTGGACACTTTTTTCTTTTTTTTTTTTTTTTTTTGCCCATGAGCAGCACGTCTTTTTGGGCTCCTTGCTTCGTGCTCACCTAACTCAAACATACCTTTCCTCCAACAGTCACCTCCCCACCCTGCTCTGGTCTCCTAAATCCAGAACTGGGCAAATCCCACCACATCCACAACCCTCCTGTGCTGTCCTGACCTTGCCTGTGCTCACCTGCCTGTGCAAACCGAGCTCCTGCCCCAAACCCATCAGATTTAAGCCAGTATTGGAGTCAATGTACACGCAAGGAGGTTTCCAGAACTGGAGCTGTTTCATCCCAGAAATAATTTACACTTTCTGCTGCTCCACTGGGGCAGGTGATGAATATTTTCGGTTGTTGGGCCCCGAGAGCGGCTGAGTCATTGAGCAGGGACCTTGTTTCCACAGCAGCAGGATGAGCCCCAGGCTGGGGCTGCATCTGGCTGTGGGATCTACCTCACCTTTGGGTCAGGAAAGAGCTTCTGCTGCAGCAACAACGGCAAAAAAACAATCATTATTTTTTCGGTGGAAATTTTCCATCCTGCTGGGGAACGGTGAGGCTTTGCAGATGGGCTGCAAAGACCTGTGCAACTCGTTGCAGGTGATCAAGCTGCCCTGGCAGCGTGAAATAGGACATGGAAAGGGGAAAAGCAGCTCCTGTGCTGTCCCCCGTGGAAGGATGTGCTGGGGGAATCTCCCAGACCTCCAGCACGGGGTGCCCGGGGGCAGGTGGTGCTGAAGGGTTGATGTGCCCTGTGAAGGGCAGTGCAGTGCACTTGGATCCAGATGGCTGAGTCCAGGTAGGATGCCCGGGAAGGGCACTGCTGTGACCTCAGTTGAGGTGCCACAGGGAAGTCCAGACTCTCAGAGGTGTCCAGGCTCCCGTCTCAGTGTGACACTCCAGCCCTGCCTGGTGACAAAGCACCTCCCTGGGAGGTGTTTGTTGGCATTTCCCCTCTCGTTTTAAATCCTCCAGGCAATGAGATGCTCTCCCTGCCTTTGGCCCCTGAGATCTCACGGGCAGGAAGGTTTATTCACAAGGGATGTGCATGTTTTCTGCAGATCCATCCATCCATCTCTCCGGGACTGGTCCCTCCCACCCCTCAGGAGTGGCCTCGAGGCCAAGTCCTGCTCGTGCTCATGGAAAAAGTCTCAGTTCCCCAGCCAGGGAACAACCTGCAAGTCCCTAAACCCTGTGACCTGTCCCAAAATAGCACCTTAACAGAGGGACTGACGCAGCCCCTCATCTCAGGAATAATCTTTCCTCCACGTCACCTGTGTCCCCAGCGGGGAACCAGGGTCTTATCCAGGCTGCAAACGGGAAAGACACGTCTAAAAGAGGAACAGCAAAGGGCTGCTCTCCCTCAGCAGTGACTTTTAACCCAGATCTGAGCCTGCAGTGCTGGGCAGGAGGGTGGAAAAGAGCCCCTCTCCTTCCCTGCTGCCCTCCCCGGGCAGGGGACGCTGCCTCCACCCCGGGGACTGCCCCAGCCCTGCTCGAGGATAGGGGGTGTTAATGGCTCTCCTGCTCCAGGGGGATAAAGCAGCCGGGCAGCAGCAGGAGAAGCAGAACAGACTCTCCCAAGCCCATTTCCTCCCTGTTCTGGATCATGTTTTTTAGGAGAAAACAGGATTTAGAGCGGGTGGCAGAGCAGGGAGTGGTCTGAGCCCATCATCTCTTGATTCACCTCCCTGGTGGACAAAGCAGGGACCCTCACAATGCTTGGGAGAGTGTGGAGGGTTTATTTTAGGTATCCCATCAACGGGGATGCTCATCGTGCTGGGAACATCCTGGGAAGAGGATGCCAACATCTGCAAAGCCCCATAGCAGGAGCTGAAAGAGCAGAGGAAGAGCAGAGAAGCTGCAGTGGTGCAGCACCAGGCACAGCAGCACTGCCCTGGACCAACTCCCCGTGAGGGCTGCCTGATAAGGGAATAATTTTTTCGCTTTCCTGGGTCTTTGCATCCCTGGAGCTCGTGTGAGCTCCAGCTGGGATGTCTGGGCTCCTCACATTCACCATCAGGATGCAGCAGGCTCAGAGGGGTTATTCCATGTCAGCAATTCACTGGTGGGACACGGAGGGGCTCACACACCTCCTGTGTGCCTCATTTTCCCCAACTCCCCTATCCCAGCCATCCCCAGAGGATCGCACTGCCAGAGGGCAGCGTTCAGCCGCGGTGGAGATGAGCCTGCGGCTCCCCCTGAGCTCCTCCAGAGCACCCCTGGGAGCCACCCAGGAGCTGGAGAAAGGCAGAACCACCCCAGGGCGGCTCCCCCAACGCCCATGGGTTTTCCCCTCATCCCTTCCCCATCCCAACGTCTCCTCCCTTGCTCCCGGGAGCAGAGGGATGGAAGGGGGGGCTGGCAGCCGTGTCCCCCCCCCTCCCACCCGCGACAGCCGGTGTCACATCCGATCAGGTGCCAGGCAGGATAAACATCGCGGCTGCTCGGCCCGAGACTGCTCTGGAGAGGGGAGACAGTCAAGGAGAAAGCGGAGCGTGAGGAGCTAAAAATAGCGGCTGGCGAAGGCTCCGCTCCCCGGCGGCCGCGCGGGAGCTGCCACCGCCCGTCACACGCGTGAGCGAACAGGGCCACAGCGTCCCTCCCGCTGCCTCCCGGGGACGGGGGGGATGCTGCTCCCCCGACCTGTTCGGGCAGGGGGGTCCCGGAGGGGTAAGACCAGCCCTCGGGGGGTCTTGTCCCCGTCCGTGGAGAGACACGGCCGGATCTGCCCTGCTGGTGGGAGCATCGCCCTTCCCGGGTCAACATCGCCCTTCCCGGGTCAACATCGCCCTTCCCGGGTCAACATCGCCCTTCCCGGGTCGGCAACATCTGCTCCGGGAGCTGAGTGCAGGGCTGGGACGCACGTTCCCAAATTCCTGGCTCTGGCCAAGCTCGTCTCCTTGCCGAAGGGGAGGGATGATGCTCAGCGCCCGGAGCAAGGTGCCCGTCCTGCCCCTCCCCTTCGGCAAGGACAGGAGGGATGGGCAGAGCCAGGAATTTGGGAACGTGCCCCCCAGGCCGTTCCCAAATTGATGATCCCAAATGAGGATGCACTCCCTCGTGGGAGCTGAATCCCAGTACAGGGAAGAGGGGCAGGGACCACATCACCCAGTGTGGGTTTCTCCCGAAAGCACACCCCACTCCCCCAGCCTTGGGGACATCCACCCTCAGGGCCAGGAGGGACATTTTGGAGCAAACCCAGGCTGTCTCCCAGCTGTGGGAATGCTGATGGAAGCCCTGGGAGGTGGTTGCTGGCCCTATGTGCAAATTCCGGTTGAATTTAATTCCCACTGCGCTCACTGGGGGCTGCCTCCCCCACCTCAGGGTGGGAACCCCTCTTCCACACCCTCGGCATTAGCCGTGTCCCCCCAGAGGGTGACACCGGTGCCAGGCCAGGAGCAGCGGGTGGCATCTCCTCTGTGCCCAGCGTCCTTCCCGCGGGGACAGTCCTTGTGCCGGGCACAGCGTGGGGCCGGGACAAGATCCGCTGGATTTACCAGCCGGATCCCGGGTCTGCCAGCCCCCCCACCGCCCTCCCCTCATCCTCCACACACCGCAGGGCTGCAGCCACACGTTTTGTCGCTATTTTTTGGCGCCTGGCAATTGGTTTTGGCCGCACTAAACGCTCGTGGAGCCGTGTGTGCTGAGGCCGAGCTGTCCCGGTGGGCGAGCTGAGCCCCCTCAGCCCATCCCCCGTGGGGCTCCCTCCCCAGGGCTGCAGCCGGGGACCCGAATTCAGAAGAAATTGGGGGGTGTGGGGGGGTGTCTCCGTTTTCCCCGAGCGCGGCTGGTGCCCCACGCAGGGCTGGGGACCCCACCGGGGCAGAGTCACTGCTGGGGGGGAGGAGATGGGTGTCACAGCCCCTTCCTCCCATGCCCCAGCGCGGGGGGACGCGGGGACACGGCAGCCCGGGGGGTGTTTGAGGGCGGCCCCGGCGGCGGGGGAGGCGCGGGGGCGGCAGGCGGGGCCGGCGGAGGTCCCCCGCGCCGAGCGGGAGGCCGGGCCGGGCAGGAGCGGCGGCGCTGGGCGGGAGGCGGCGGCGGCGGCGGCAGCTCGGCCCCGGTGCCCCAGGGCCGCCTGGAGCCCGAGGCTTCCCCGCGGCTCCTGCCGAGCGCCGAGCATCCTTCCTGCCTTCCTTCCTTGCCTGCCTGCCTTCCCCGGGCCGCCCGACTGGGACCGGCACCGGCATCACCGCCGGCACCAGAATCGGCATCACCACCGGCACAGCATCAGGATCCACACCGACACCGCCACCGGCGTCAGCATCGACACGGGCACCCCCACCAACACCGGCACCGACACCAGAATCGGCATCAACGCCGTCCCCGGGATCAGCACCGACCCCAACACCGACCCCAGCACCGTCCCCGGTACCAACATCAACAGCCGCGCCGGTGTCGCCGCCGCCACCAGGTGAGCGCTGGCGGACGGCGGGTGCAGGTGCCGTGGTGGCACCGAGGCCCTGGGCCACGGCGGGGGCTGCCCCGTGCTCGTGGGGGCTGGGGAACAGGTGCCCCCCGTGGGGATGGGGTGCCCACCCCGGGAAAGGAGTGCCCGCCCTGGACACCTCCCTGGTGGAGAGGCAGGAGGGGCAGCAGATGGACACCCACCGGCCTCGGGGGGCAGGGGGGCTTTTGGGGGGGATCAGAGTCTGGGGCTGCTGCACAGGGTGGCTGAGCAGGGCAGGGAGTGTCTCTCGAGGGCTCGGGGGTCTGCCCATCCCACCGGGGGCTCTGGGGAGGATTTGGGGAAGCAGTGGTCAGGCACGGAGCAAGGCATACCTGTCTCAGGGTGGGCGCTTCAGATCAACCCCCACGGTGCCACCTCTGTCTCTCCCCTGGCACCCACCCACTGCCCTCTCCTCCCTGGCAGGTCCGGGGGTCACCACTGCCCCCCATCCACCTTTCACCCTGCCCTGTCCTCATCTCAGCGACCGCGACACTTCCCCTCCTCCCCCAGCTCCAGCTCCAGCCTTCAGCTTCCCGGATTAGAGCTTCCCGGATGATGTGGGGCCCGGAGAGCCGGGGGGTCCCCAGGCAGTGCCAGCTGAGAACCGCTCGGTGCAGGGGACACACTCGTCTGGTGCTTCCCCCCGGGGCGGCATCCTGTCGGCAGGAAAGGGCTTCCCCCGGGGACAACTCCTCCTCCCCGCCTTCGGGGCATCATTTTGGCAGGTTGCCCCTGCAGATGCTTGGAGCGGGTCCCTTTGGTCCCCGGAGCTGGCTCCTGTCCCCCTGGCTGCGTGGCAGTGCCACCGAGGAGGTGGCAGAGGCAGGATGTCCTGTGCTCACCCCCAATGCTCCCAGCCTGTGACCTTGGGGTGTCCACCAGGGGACACCTCCATCCGTCCCTGCTGTCACAGGGGGCTCCTCCTGGGATGTCCCTGTGGGCACGGCCAGGCAGGAGGGGTGGGAGATATAGTGGGGAGTGGGGGTGGAATGGACGTTGTCTCTCTGTCTCCACCCTTTATCTGCTCAGCACCATCTCTCTCCCCCCACAAAAAAAAAAAAAACAAAAAAAAAAGAAGGTTTTGGAGGTGAAACGGTGACAGCTGAGCCAGGTTCACACTTTTTTAGACTAGGAGGGAGTCACAACACTTGTCCCCAGACTGGGATGCTGGGAGGCAGAGGGGGAGGCAGCTGGAGCTGGGGATGCTCAGTGGGAGGCTGTTGGGGTTTGGTCACAGCCACTTTCAGGGGAAACCTTGGGGTTCATCTCCTGGGTCGGCCAGAAAAGCTCTGTCACCCTTTCCTGCCCTGGCCTGTGCTCCCTCACAGGACAGGGCGCTCCAGGGCCCTGGGGGGATGTGGCACCATGGACAGGACGGGGACACTGCCCTGCTCTGCCCTTGGCTCCTCGGGCAGGTGCTTCTGCCACCTGACTCAGCCCCAGGGGTGTTGGATCCGGCTCTGCTCCCTCAGGGCTGGGCATTTCAAGCCATGCCCCTGATCCCAGGGTGCCTGCACGGGATTCCAGGGTGCCTGCACGGATTTCTTCCCTCCTTGGCTTTTGGTCCCTTCCCTGCCATCTCCCTGGGAGCTGAGTGGGTGTCACTGGGTGGTGGGGAAAGCGCTGTGACAGCCACCACGCTGGAGAATGCTGATGATGCTCCCAGGATCTGTGCAGGGATGGAGGAAAACAGCTGGACTGCCTCCATGCAGGGTCTCTCCACTCCTGGTGAGTGGATGCTGCCTGGAGAGCACAGGGTGCCCTGGAAGTTTCCCACCTCCTCTTCCTGGGATGAGTGGCAGTGGGAAGGAGACAATCTGCCGGCATCCAGGGGCCCGGGGGAAGCACATGCGTGGGGCTCCCCGGGGAGCCGGAGGTACCAGCTGCTGCTCGTGGCCTGGAAAGCTTTCAGCTGGCTCTGCTCCCCGAAATTAATGAGTTATCTGGGTGCCTGCACATATCCTGCCTCCTCCAAATCCGGTGCTGCTCCCTCAGGGCTCCCTGCTGCCCTCTCAGCCCTTCCCAGCCGGACCGTGGTCCTCTCCGGGTGCCAGCAGTGGCAGGTGGAGAAGAGGCACCTTGCGCTGGGAGAGGAGGCTCCTGCAGCGCCCGGCTGAGCCCGAGGCCCTCCCGCTGCATTCCAGAAATTCCTGGTGGCTCTGCCACAAAGCCCGCCGTGGCCCCCAGCCCAGGATGTGCTTGGTGGCACCCGGCTGGCCCCCCCGTGCCCCCAGCAGCCCCCAGCATCCTCACAGCTCCTTGGGTTTCCCTTGGCACAAATCCCTGTGCCACCCACAGGCTTGGCAAGACTCGAGGATGTTCCTGTCCCCGTCCCAGCAGCTCAGAGCGGTTCCCTCAGCTCCCACCAGGGATGCTCAGGCTGGAGCAAGGGATGAAAAGCTGTTTGGGGAGGAGGGAGCCTGGAACTGCTGAAGAATTAAAGGGATGGAGGTGTGGGTAACATGTTTGTTATGCAAAATTCCAGTTTGTGGCATGTTGGAGCAGTTAAGTGAGGGTTACAGCGGGAGCTCCATTCCCCAGGGCTCCATCATCCTGATTTTCTCCCTTTGGATCACCTCTTGTTTCCCTCCCTCACTCCAAGAGCAGGGCTGGTTGATCCCTGGTGCCAGGTCCCTCTCCAGGGGGCTGGAGGTGTTTCCATCCCCCTCATGTCAAAGGGGCTGTTGAGTTTCCCCCTTGGACTCAAAAAGGACCTGAATGCAGTGGAAGGGACTGAGGAGTGTGGGGGAGAGAAACTCACACAGCACCCCAACCTCCCCAGGGAAATTCCTGCTCTCCTCCCACCACACCAGTTTACCTCTAATCAGTTAATTAAAGGTAATCAACTGATGGGGGTGGAGGTGGGGATGCTCACCAGCACTGGAAGAGGTCACAGCTGGCAAACGCCTGGCTGGCCTGGGAGCAGCTTCCATCACTCCCTGGGATGTGGCAGGATTTCTCCCTGTATCCCTCCTTGCTAAGCTCCCATCCCTTCCTGGTATTCAGGGAGATTCCTCCTTCTCTCCCTCCCTCCTTCCCTCAGACATGGTGGAATCCCTCCCTGCACCCTTCCCTGGGATGTGGGGGGATCCCTGGCTGGAAACCCTCCTTCCCTGTCTGGGATGTTGTGGGATTCCTCCCTGGGCTGTCTCCATCCCTCCCTGGGATGCAGGACAGCATCTCCCACCCGGGAGCTCTGGGATCCCCATCCTGCTCCTGACAGGCAGGGGCTGGGTGGGGTCAGGGCAACTTCTCTTTAAGGAACGATCCCCATCCCCCCCCAACCCACTGTGGGGTGAGGGTCTCTCCCACTGCTGGTGCTGAGCTGGGTCACGGAGCTGCCAGCACCGCCAGCCCTCGGGATTTGCCCCGTTCCCACAGGAAACATCCACAGCTGGAATATCACCGGTGATTTTGGGGAGTTCTCCATTTCCCCGGTGCCGCCGAGCAGGGAGGGCTGTGCCACAGGGAGGGGACCTTCCTGCTGTCCCAGGGACGCCCCCACTCCCGTGTTTTGCCCGGCCCGCCTGTCAGAGCCGGCGGAGGGGGCTGTCGGATCTTTCCTCAGGGATATCCTATTGCAAGGCAGCATTCCCGGAGCCCTCCCCGCATCCCACCCCTCCCACCCCCGCGGAGCAGGAACCCCGCTCTGTGCGGTGGTAAAAGCCAGAAGTGCTTGTTTTTAGCCCAAAGTGATGGAAACGGTCCCCGGGGAACTCAGGGGAGAGTGGGAGGGATGGGAAGCAGCGATGTAAGCTGGGCTGGGAGCCCCAGGAGGGAGGAGGAGAGGAGCTAGAATTTGGCCATTCCCTCTCTGAGTGAGGGGGCCAGCACAGCTGAGGTCATCCAGGTTATCCATGCCCTCTCCAGTGCTGGATATTTGGGATGCAGGATGAAGCCTGGCAGTGCTGCTCCACCATCAGCCCACGTCCTCGTGCCTCTGCCTGCTGAGCTTCTGGTGCTTTGCTCCTTAATTAGACCAGCTCAGGCTTGTCCAGGGATGAAATCCAGGTGCTCCAGAGGGAATCACTCATTCATGTTTCCCTGGTGCCTTCAGGATCATTCCAGATACCCCCTGAGCTGCTCCCGTGGGAAAAGATGCCTCACTTTTATCCCTGTGTGGACTCTCAGGAGGTGCTGAGATCAGCAGGGCCATGCTGGGATTAAACTCTTGAGTCTTCCAGAGAGCTTTTTCCTGCCCAATCCAGGCCTGCAGGATCAAAAGGGGATTTTCTCTGGGCTCACCAACCCTTTGGGGAAGCCAAGCCCTGGTGTGGGGTGAGCACCTCGAGGTCTGCAGGAGTTTGGGTTGGAAGGCTTTGGGTTTGTCCTGGAGGAAAACTCTGGGTTGGGACTCACTCTCACCTTGGAGCAGGACTCACTCTGGTTTGAGTTTCCAGCGTTATAAACAGAGGGGACAATTCATACAAACAGCCTGAAATCCTGTCTGGAGAGACTCAGGTGGGATTTTAGTGGGTTTTTGCCTGGTTTTCATGGGAGTGTTAAACACAGCTGAGCTCTGCCATCACCCCCCTGTCTGGTGGAGCAAGAACACACCCAGAGGCTCCAGCCTTTGCATGTCACAGCAAAAACCCACCTCCTGTGTTGCTCTCCCTGTGGGCATCCAGGAATGACAGGGAATGAAGATCAGCAGTGTCCCATTTTGGAGTCCTTCCTTCTCACTCCTGGCCTGGAACACCAATTTATGCACCAGCATCCAACAAGCCTGGATGAGCCCATCCTGGGAAGGGTTTATCCTCCATCCAGGTTGGCCTTTTCTAGGACAGGTTGAAGTGTGAAAAAGAAGTTTTAAAAGTCCTACACCTGTTGAAAAAATTCTAAAAAAAGAAAAAAAGTCATAGAATCCCAGACTGGTTTGGGTTGGAAGAGATCTTAAATTAGCTCATCTCATTCCATGGGCAGGGACACCTTCCACCAGCCCAGGTTGCTCCAAGCCCTGTCCA